AAAAAAAACCAAACCAAAACAAAACAAAAATTGCTTGTTCTTTCTCCCGCATGTATTTGTCATTGGCCAGTGATTCAGGTTATTGTATTCTTTGTGTCAAGAAAAAATTTAAGAATCAGTACCTGTGACCCCGAAATAGTTTTCAGTCATTTTTAAAAATTGCCACACCCTGGGATGAGAGGTGCTCCACCCCAGTACAGCAAGGGCAGCCCCAGGACTGAAAATGATAAATCTTTGTGTAAATGCAGCAGCAGATAATTACCAAATGACCCAGCAGTCTGACTTTGAGCTTCAGATAACATCCAGACAGACCTTATTTACCCTGTCTGGAGAATTGGTAGTCCTTCAGTGGAATACTATACAGTCTTGAAAAGCAATACAGTGTAGGAACCCAGCCATGTGGGTTCGTTTCACAACTAGTGAGACATGAGCCACAGAGGATAAGGTGTAGAGTTCACAGATGTCTAGAATTGTTTCAAGAAACAGATGTGTAAGTCATAAGGAAAAGCTGGCGGATGGCAAATCCCGAGAACGGAAGAGTGGGGGCTTCTGCGGGGGGGGGCACCTGAGCTCCTGGGGGGGTGCAGAGCACCTCTGCAGGGAGCCGGCTCAGTCCCCAGCGGCGTGTGTGGGAAGAGAAGAAACGCGGTGGGCCCCCCTGAGGACGCATCCCCCATGTCGCAGGCCTCCCTGATCGTGACTGAGGAGCTGCACCTGATCACCTTCGAGACCGAGGTCTACCACCAGGGCCTCAAGATCGACCTGGAGGTGCGGATGGGGCGGCTGCGAGGGCTCCGGGGTGTGGGCGGGGCGGCTGTGCTGAGCCTCGAGTTCCTTTTCCCCAAACACCTGTGCAGCCGCCACCCCAAACAGCGAGGGCTGCACAGCGCCGGTCTCGAGGCTCCCCGTAGGGTTGGCAGGGCCCCGTTGGGTTTGGGCGGAGGAGGCCCGGCCACCGCGGGCTCTGTGCAGTTCGGGCGTCTGCAGTCACTCTCCAGCCTTCTTGCTCTTTAGCATAGACTGGAGCCCGGCGTGGTGGCGCATGCCTATCATCCCTGCGCTCAGGAGGCTGAGGCAGGAGGATCGCTGTGAGCGCGAGGCCAGCCTAGGGTATATAGTGAGACCCTGTCTCAAAGAGGCAGAACAAAACGAAACAAAAAAACACAAAAGGAAAGAAGGAGGGAAGCGGAGTCTTCGGTGTCTGAGCCCTGTGTCCTGGGTGTTGCTGACCCTGGATGTTTGGAGCCCGCCTCGTTCTTCTAATGGGCCGGAGGCTAGGGGGAGGTTTGAGCCAGCCCGGGTAAGACCCGTGCCTGTGCTCCTGGCCCCCTTGGCACCAGCCAGGCTGGGGAGCGGGCACTGACCTCGACCCTGTGCCCGCAGACCCACTCCCTGCCTGTCGTGGTGATCTCCAACATCTGCCAGATGCCCAACGCCTGGGCGTCCATCCTGTGGTACAACATGCTGACCAACAACCCCAAGGTGTGCGCCGCCCCGCCCAGTGCCCGCCCTGTGCCCGCCTGCCCCTCACCCCCCCCCGTGCCCGCCTGCCCGCCGCAGCACCTCTGTCCCTCCACAGAACGTGAACTTCTTCACCAAGCCCCCGATCGGGACCTGGGACCAGGTGGCCGAGGTGCTGAGCTGGCAGTTCTCCTCCACCACCAAGCGCGGCCTGAGCATCGAGCAGCTGACCACGCTGGCCGAGAAGCTCCTGGGTGAGCACTTCTCTCGGCCTGCCCCTCGCCCTCGGGCGCTCTCCGCCTGCCTGCAGGCTCACCTCTCCTCAGTGGCCAGGCGCTGCCCTGTGATGTCTGCATCCTTTGCTTCTTACTGGAGCCCAGCGTGGCCTGGACCACATAGCAACCCTCCTGCCTCAGCCTTTAGGGCTGGGATTATAGGCTTCTGCCACTGTGCCTTACTTAGTCTAATTTTTCTCTCCTCAAAAAAAAAAGCCAGGCATGGTGGCTCATGAAGGCTGGGAGACTGAAGCAGGAGGATCGAAAGTTCAAGCTCTACCCAAGCAGTTAGCAGCTTAGCAAGTTGATGTCTCAAAATAAAAATAAAGGCTGGGGTTGGCGTTAGTGCCCAGGCCCTGAGTTCAATCCTGAGTACCACAGAAATAAAATGCCTTGAGCCAGGCACAGTGGCGCATCCTGGTAACTCCAGCCACTCTGGAGGCCAAAGCAGAAGGGTTGAGAGGTAGGGGCAACCCGGGCAACTTCGCGAGGCCTATCGCAGAATTGCAAATGGACCCTGGTCTACCCTAAAAAAAACGTGCACTTGTTCTTCTTTGCCCTCAGGACCGGGCGTGAACTACTCGGGGTGTCAGATCACATGGGCCAAGTTCTGCAAGGTACACGATCTCACGCAGCCCTCGGGGTGTGGGGGCCCTCACGGGCCGGCCTGCGCTGACCGCCTGCCCTGACCGGGGTCCCGCCCTCCCGCAGGAGAACATGGCCGGGAAGGGCTTCTCCTTCTGGGTGTGGCTGGACAACATCATCGACCTGGTGAAGAAGTACATCCTGGCGCTGTGGAACGAAGGGTAGGCCCACGCAGGCGGCGGTGGGGGGCAGGCGCGCTGAGCCCGCGACCCGCACCCCTGACCCGTGTCGCCCGCCGCCAGGTACATCATGGGCTTCATCAGCAAGGAGCGGGAGCGCGCCATCCTGAGCACCAAGCCGCCCGGCACCTTCCTGCTGCGCTTCAGCGAGAGCAGCAAGGAGGGCGGCGTCACCTTCACCTGGGTGGAGAAGGACATCAGCGGTGAGCGGCGCCCCCTGGAGGACAGCGCCGGCCTTGCGCCTGCCTCGCCTCGTAGGCCCAGAGCGCGACTTCTGTTCCCCTGTGGAAGGGTTGGCCTGGGCCCGTGGAGACTTTGATCTTTGTCTCCTTCCTTTGCTGTCCTGTCAGTATAGCTTATGGAAGTTTGTCACTGTCCCAAGGTAGGTAGCCATCCAGAGAGCCAGCCTAGCCAGGCGTGATGGCGCACGCCTGTAATCGCAGCACTGAGGAAGCTGAGGCAGGAGGATCACTGTGTGCGTTTGAGGCCAAGCTGGGCTACATAGTGAGTTCAAGGGCAGCTTGAACTACGTAGTGAGACCCTGTCTCAAAAGCAAGCAGTAGAAGCCAGCCTGAGCGTTTCCACAGTGCCTGGCCCCCAGCGCCCGTCTCCCCACGGTTTTCTCGGAGGTGACCTGGCCGGGGCACATCGCCCTTCCTTCCAGGCAAAACCCAGATCCAGTCGGTGGAGCCGTACACCAAGCAGCAGCTGAACAACATGTCGTTCGCGGAGATCATCATGGGCTATAAGATCATGGACGCCACCAACATCCTGGTGTCCCCGCTGGTCTACCTGTACCCCGACATCCCCAAGGAGGAGGCCTTTGGGAAGTACTGCCGGCCGGAGAGCCAGGAGCACCCGGAAGCCGACCCAGGTAGTTGTTGACTTTCCGTGTGCGGCACTGATGCTGGGGAAGAGGTTAGAAACTTCAGGGTCCTGGGAGGGGGCTGGGCAGGGAAGGGCGAGGTGAACGCGAGGACTTTGTTCTTGAGAGGAGGGCAGGGAGGGCGTGCGCGGTCCCCGGTCTGCAGGGGGAAATGCACACGTGCACATGTACACACATGCATATCCATGCGTGCACACGCATCGATATGCATATGTGTACATATGTGTGTGCATGCGCACACCCACACGTTCACACACATACACATCCATGCATGTGCACCCATGTACACATGCACACATGCGTGCGTGCACACTTACACATCCATGCATGTGCACCCGTATACACGCGAGCACACACACATCCATGCATGTGCACGCACACGTATACTCACACATCCCTGATGAGAATAAGGGGCGGCTCTGTCCGTGCGAGGCCCAGGGCTCTGGTGGAGCCCAGCGTGCTTCTTGTCCCCACCCCGGCCACTGGGCGGTGTCCCTGGCGAAGACGGCTGCTGGCGGAAGCGGGCTGCAGGGTGCCGGGCGGGCGGCTCTGCCTTTCCCGTCTTGTTCCCGACTCCCTCCACGGGCAGCGCCCCTTTGGCCTCCGCGTCTGCCCCGTCACCCTGAGCAGCCCCTCTCCCACGGCCTACGGCTTCTCAGGAGGGAGGGCAGGGCTGGGGAGGGGCCCTGATGTCGCCTCTGTCCCCAGCCTTTGTTCTGGCGCTGAGCTCTGCCGAGCTCCACCCAGCACGGGAGACTTCAGCCCACTTCCTGTCGGTCCTTATCTCCCGGCACACCTTGCCTTCCGTTAGGGGATCAGTTTATCCGCTGCACTGGGCCCTTTGTTCCTGCAGCACAGGACGCGGGGCCCCAGGAGCGGGGCCCTTCCCGCAGGGGACCTGGGTGCCCAGGCTGGCGCAGGTGGCAGGCAGCGAGCGCCGGGAGATGCCCCGCCCCCACCCTCCCCGAGCCGCCCGGCCAGCCGCTCATCTGTCTGCCGCGCTCCGCGGCCGCCTCCCTCCTGCC